TAACTGATCCCTTTTGGTAATCTCAAAAGAATACCTACACTCTGACAGGCCACCAAACAGTCCCAGTTCCTCTGGTTTCATGGAATCCATCACGACTGCAGACTCCTAACCACCATCAAATTACTTTCAACATGTTTTGGGTTTTTTATTTTATTTTTTTTTCATTAAGTGGATATCTCAACCATAAGTACCTTCAGCAGCGATGAAAGAATTAGCTTATCAAAATAAAGTTGAGTGTGCAAAGAATACAAAAGACAATATTGAAAAATGGTGTTAAATTCATTATAACCCAAGTACTACTTTTAGGCAAAGTTGGTTGAACTGTTAAAAGAATGGATATAGGAAAAACAGAAAAACCCAAGACAGCTGACAGGAATAACCAGAGGCATGGAAAGACAGTTCTATAGGAGTCTGAGACTGAGATTTAGTTCAGAGTCCAGATTAACAAATGTTGCCTGGTATGAATATATAAAATAATGATTATTACAGGCATTTCTTCAGAGCCTGGGGGTTATGAATAAAGCTAAGCACAAAAGTTCTTTCCCAGCCTATAAGAATTCTGAAGATTTCAGAAAGGTCTTGTTAGTATTAGGACAAATCCTTTCACAATTTTCACAAAAGCAGAGATACCCAACCTATTACAGACAATAGTCCAGTGGTAAAGACAGTTGCCTTGGATGCATTAGATATTCAGCTGGATTTAAGTCTCTATTCAGCTGGATTCAGAAAAGGAAATTGAACCAAAGTCGCATGTCTTAAAGGATAATGCCCTAACTATTAGGCTCTGGGTATTGTAATGCAGATTTCTCTCAAGGTTTCTTTTTGAGCAGTTCCATTTCCAATAAATTATTTATTTGCTATTTGAAATTAAAGCTTTTCAAAGGAATTTTTTTTTTAAACTACGCTTGACATGAAAGAGGTTTCAGGTTTGATAAAGCAGCAATTTCTATCAAAAACTCTGTTAACTTGGAAAAATCCCTATTAGGTTTAGTATTTCTGAGACCAGATGCAAAAAATTGCAGACATTTGTAAACAATCTTTATCCTTTGTGGCAGCACTAAAAAGAGGACAGCAAGACCATGTCATGCAATCTTTTCCTCCTCAAGATATCAAGTGATTTAAGGCTGAGGAATCATTGCTACTAATCACACACAAATCAACCTCTCCTATAAAATAAAAATAATAAAATATGTATCAAAATTAACAATGTTTTTGTGTAAAACTGATCAAGGGAAAAATGACAGTGTTCACACTTCTTTTTTTTCCTGACAATGAAGTTGACTATTTTTATAGTGGGAAGGATAATGTATTTTTTATGTGGGCTTTCACTAACATATGAGTCATATTTACAATGATTTACTTTTACCCTTCCAATCTATAATCTTGGAAGTATGCTGTTCCCAACTGAAATAGCAATTTTCATGTGATTTGAACTACAAGTCTGTTTTTCTTAGCTTGTTCTTCTGTTCCTGATCTTGCATTTGACTATTGCCTCCATCAAGATACTTATTGATCACAACTTAGTTATTGTAACTGCCTTATGCAGGGCTTCCCAAATTACACCAATTGAAACCAACCAAAGTCATGTAATACAGTTTATCCATAGTTGTAGAGAAGTTATTAATTTTTTAAAACCTCTACTCATCTCCAAAGTTTACCACTCCAGTTCATAGCTTTCTGTAGCAGTGTTTTTTCCTCCCTTCTCAGTTTTCTCACTCTGGCTTTCATCCAGTCCTCTCAACTTTTCTCTGTCATCATGTGGGTTACTATGGTGTGTTTTTTAGCTATTTATCCCAGATTCATAGCAGAAGTATCTAAAGACCCCCTTTAACACACCCACTTTAAAGCAATTAAGTCAACACCGTGCTAAGCAGTTCCCTACACCAGCGCACACAGAATTGTTAACATGATTACAGCCTTTATCAATTTAACTTCTGTTCACTGGGAGAGACAGATTAAGGGACAGTGAAAGTCCTGTGTGTGGAACCAGAAATGCTGCCAAAGGAACTGCAGTTAAACCATCAACAACTGGGTACAGACTGCATCCTTCCTACTTATGAGTGTTTTCCTACTACATAAAAAGTCCCCTTGCAATGACAATAGATACTAGCAAGGCAGAAAATACTTTAAAACCAACCACCTGTCATGAATAAAAGCTTCTATTCCCACCTCCACCACCCCCAATTCACCACATTACAAAGCAGCAATAGTTCACATTTGGATACCAAACTAGGTGCTACATCTACTGCCAGGAAAGTAATGTGTAATGAATCACATTACTCCTACAGCATTTTAAACAGGTAGAAACAATTGTGGAAGAACTGCCAAGGAAATCTACAGTTCCAATTTTATACTGTCTGTAGGTCTTCAGACTAAAACTAATGCACATGTGTCATTTTCAAAATTAACATTTCTATTAAAAAGAAAACCAGACTCATCCTAGTTGATGTTACACACTTATTCACTAGAATAATCCCACTGAGGCAGATAAATATATTTGCATGAAAAGGGCCTACACTGCAGGACTTCATAGAAACATACATGTGGGACGAAAAGAAGAGCCTAGGAATTAAGTCAGTCATTTTGACAAACTTGTATAACTGCAATGCAGTCAGTTTAGTTGGCTATTCCTAATTTCAGATCTAATACATACTGCTCTACAATACTGCCTGAACAGCATTAAAGTCATCAAAGCAATTTCACTTTTCAAGCTTCAAAATGCACTATGTTTGCTTCTGGTTCATAAGTTTTGATGCATTTTTGAACCACTTATTCTTCCTATCATCTTGCCTAATTATAACACATTCTTTAAAATTTAACTTTTGTTTGAAAAACAGGTTTATAAAATTTCTCAGTTCCACATTCAAAAGAGCTGTTAAATTAAATTAACTAAAAGACTAAAAATGTAGGAATTCAAAATGGGTCATGAGAAGAATTTAGGCATGTGTAGTCAAAATGCTGATCCTGGAGCCCCTATCCCACCTGGAGATGCTTCTGGTGGCAATAAAGGCTTTGATGGCAACACAGGCCAGATCCAGAAGCTGCATCTCTGTGCATGGCCAGAGTTTGCCTGCTCAGCCAGGGTGCTTCATCTCATGGCTCAGTTTATGCCAAATCCTGTGGGGAGCTGCACAGCTGATCTGAGGAGTTTGACCCACCAGGTGCTCTCAGAGCCAGCCTGATAAACACCAGCCAGGTGGGCTCCCTACAAAATCCTTCAGGCGCTATTTCTTTCCAAAACAGCACATGAGACCAGTCATTCCCAGCCTGGCAGCAGCACTGCTCGTGCCAGCAGCCAAATCCCCTTGTCCCATTCCTTCTTCAGCCTTGGACTCAGCAATGTCTTCTAGCAGAACATTCCAGTCAGCTACAGGCTGCAGTAAATGCTGGGGCAGGGAGAGGGAGATAGCAAAGTTCTACCACGGAAGCTCTTTCATTGTACAGAAAATAATTCAAGATTCATTGGGCCAGAGAAAGAACACAAGAGGGAGCAAGAGTCTGTAGCCTAGTGATTTGGGCACTCAGCTGGGAAAAGGAGTCCTGGGTTCCTGGCCTGTGCTCCATAGAAGGTTCATGCAATTTATCTAACAGCCTTTCAACAATTTAAGTCCTAGCTTGAATCTGGCCATGTTTTCCTTCCTGATCCAAGTCTATAAATAACACTTTGTTTGCAAACATCAACGTATCTCTTGTATGCTTTTAACGCTAAATTTTAAATAGGAAACATCAATAAAACTGAAATGTGCCAAAACCTGAAAGCTAATTTCATATTCATATTCCTTTATAAGTACTTAAAATACAAGAACTTACTTGTGATCATGTTAAAAATACTATTAAAATGCAAATACATGGTTTTCCCTGTGTCAATAATGCTATTTTGAATCACTGGATTGGAATTTATTTTTTCATTTCATCTTTCTCAGGGTCACATAACATTTTTAAGACAATATAACAATAGTAATAGCTTTCTAATGTCTTTATACTGCTCAGTTTCTGATTCTCACTTGACAGTATTTTCATTTGCTGGTTCTCATTCCATAGCACAACAGTGCAATGTCATGCAGGCAACTTTAAATCCAAGCAAGGTTACCCTGAAATTCCCACTCCAACGATTTCATGGACATATTTCTGGTTTTGCTAAACATTCTTTTCATAATAGCTTCATTTTGGGCCTAAGCCTACATAACAGGGTCCCTTTAAATAATATTCCATGCCTTGAAACATATTACAAAAACTGTTATATCAAGGCGAGTTATGCAAGGGCTCTCTATGGTTTTAGCATATTTACTCTGTCACGCCATGTGTGAGACTGCAGCCTCCACAACAAAACCTTTACACACTGAAGTCATTATCTCTGTGAAGTCTGCAACTGGCATTTAAAACTTATTGATGGCCTGGGTATTGGTGGCTCAGTAGGCAGCACTCTTGCCGGAGGCCCAGGAGGTCAGGGGTTCACATTCTGCTCAAAGAACAAGTTGGACATATTCCAGGTTTGTGTGTGGGCTGTGCTACACTCCTAAAGGGGCAGTCCTTAGGACAGTAGGCAAAACCTTGGCTTTTTGGGGATATCAAAGTCCTCTTGCAAAGGGAAGAGGAAGAAAGTTTAACAAGTGAATGAACACGATTGCACTGGCTGGGGACCTGGATTTGGTCGTGTGCTAAATACGGAACGGTCCAGCTAGGCTACACTGAACAGCTTGAAACAAGCTGCCACATTTTAGTCTCTGTGGTCAGCACATGTTCAAGGGAGGAGTGCAGACTCCAGGCATGCTCAGTATTAGCCAGCTTCCTCAATAGCAGAGTGACTTTGGGTTCAATTTCACACCACAGAGCTATGAAAAATGCATGTGCAGTTTCAACAAGTGAGCAGTCCAAACAAAAATGCTTTAACACTGGAGCAACTTCCACCCATACTATACAATCACTGAAAAAATCTCCAGCCAAATATCCAAGTCAAAACTAGCAACACATATAGAGAATAATATAAATCAAGATTCGACCTGCTCTGGTGTTAAACTTTGATACTTGAATATCCCAGATGTCTCCCTCCTCCTCTTCTTCTTTATAGACAGGTAAAGATGGATCTCTTGAAGGAACTGGGGATCACACTCTAGGCAAAGGTTGGACAGGTGATCAATGTACAGCATGAGATTTTGCCGTGGCTATGTGCCTCCAACAGTGACTGGATCATCTGGTTTAGAAAAACAATTCAAAATTGTAATATTTTCTAAAGCACTTGTAAGGGAAAAATTAGCAAAAGGGAGAACATGTAATTTTTATAACATGAAAAATATCACAGAACTTCTTTCCATAATTATATATTTTATTTCAAAAATTCATTTATTTCTTATTTAACATTTAGTTCATTAACTTTTCAATTCCTTAGAAGTCAGTCTTGAGAGGACTGCATCCCATTTCCACTGGCAGAATGTGTTCAAAAGTTACCGGTGTGATATGAAGTTACTCTTGTGTCAATATTTATTTTTTTTCTTTTGGCATTTAGATTTAGACACAACCCTACAAAGTGCCAGGGCCAGGCCCAGTCCATTCCTTAATCAGGTTTTGGAGCAAGTGAGTATTTATCAGCCAAAAGGGATTCTACTCTGCAGTGCTCTTCAGGAGGTAAGCACAGAGGTTAATGTTTGTTAATGAAGATACATCTCCCAACACTCCCTCCTATTTCAACAGAATGAAAGAGCATTTTCTAAAGGATCATTCAGAGAACTTGAATGATACCTTTTCTTCCAGCATTTAGGAACACCATCTTTTATCAACCTATCTTTTACATGGTGCCGCCATTTGGGGTTTTTTTACCATCATGGAAAAACAAATACTGTCGTCCTTCCCAGAAATATCCATTAGTATAATGGATCTTTAGGTTTAAGTTTGGTGAAACCAACCTGTATTTAAGCAACAGTGTTTACACACAGTAAAAGAGATAATTAATTACAAGCATCATGACATCTTTAGGCTATCACACAATGTATAAGCAACGAGCTGCTTAAGTGAAACAAGATATTGATGGCATTATTTCAAGTTCAGAAACAGAGGAACTCCTAACATAATCTCAGTGCAAATTTGCAAAGTATGTGTTCATTTTGTCACTAAATATGAAAAGGAGCTATTTCAAGGAACGAAGGATGTCCTCTTAACCTGCAACAACAAATTTGTTTGTTTTTTTCTCTTCTCAGTAAGAAAGCAATTAGGATTTTTTCCAATAAAAATATCCTTGTCCATATATAAACACTCTTGGTAATCATGTAATTACCCTACCCAATCAGATTAAATTGCTGTCAGTTGAGTTCCCACTGTTGATTAACTTTTGTATACTCTGAACCTAAATGAAGTCTTTAGTAAAGTCACTTAGTCATTTACAAAGGTGTCTCTATGATTCCAAAAAAGGGTAACAGCAATATATTATTTGCTATAATCATCAAATATCCAAGGTCAAGGATAGATCACAGTGGACCCCTTTTTTAAAACCCAAAGAAACACAGAATTAAACTATGTTGCTTATTTTTGTGTTTCTTGCCATGACTTCTAAATGTAATAGTAACCTTTGACCCCCCCATATTAAACACCATAATTATGTAATTAAAACTAATTATGCAATTTAACATACATATTTTTATCCTACAACAGGCAGGTCAATAACCTCACTCATTGACTTTGGAAGCTTTCACAGTTTAAACAAAACAATGAGGCTTTCAATTAATTTTAAAGTACAAACAGAGAAGGAGCAGCAGAACAGCAAGTCTTCGCACTGATACTGCATGGAAGGATCACTTACAAACCTCTTCATTTTGGATTCCATAGATTAAATCCCTTGATAAAAGCTGTTTAAACATCTCTTTAAACATCTTTCTTCTATGCTGATATCATTAGAAATGTTAACACATTTATGAACAAATCATATATACACATTATTTGCTAAATGCAAGAAAGGAGACCAGTAATGTTTTCTTTGTCCCACTTCTTTTCTTCAGGGTTGTTTCCTCTGCTTCCTCCCATACTTCACTGCCTCTTTCCCTGTTTCACCTCCTCTTTCTGAAGCCTTTTTCTTTCCCCTGTTTTCTTCATTATCTTCTCTGTTCCATTTTTAGCCTTAAAGTTTATCATTAATATCAAACTGTTGTAGCTGTTGCCTTTTCCAGTTTCCATCCGCATCCCTGACCCCATTCACAGGTCTTGGCACCAGGTGGCTTCTGATGATGATGATCCAGCTGAGAGGGAACTTTGGGCTGCAGAAAGCTACAGCTGAAGCAAATATGGCACATGCTCTAAAATGAATTTTCCACAGAGGGAAATTTGGTACAAGTGAGAGACACTTTATGAAATTGTTGAAATATGTTCCACCTCGATAATACCTTTTTTCTACTTAAACACTTAGGTAAGCTCTATATACTGCACTGAAGGCTTTTCAAATTGTACAAGACAGATTCATGCAATATTACATTTTGTCCAAAGAACTTGTTCAAAGAATAAAATTAGGATTATCATTTAACCACATGTTTACTCTTTGGTAAACTAAATCCCATTCTCTAAAGAATAATTCTTAAAGCAAGTATAAGCCCAGGAGCTCTGCATTAAAAAGGATCATGTTATCCTGTTTTTTTCAAGTGTTGTATTGACCACAAATGGATCCAGCAAAGTTAACAGGCCTAGATGTGAAGTAAAGGGACAGACCCCATATATATAAATATTCCCTATATATATATATATATCCCATATATATGTATGCATACATACCTACATATACCAATCAAGCTTTAAGTTGTTTTCTCTAAACTTTGTTTCATGTGGGGATCAGAAAGTAGCTTCTGGAAAAACACATATGAAAATCTTTCCTGACTTCTTGAAAGTATGGCAAAAATACCTACAGTGCACTTTGTGCTTTGGTGTCGTTTCTAACACCGTTTTTGGAGTCCTTTCAGTTCTCTGCTTTAATTAGGCCTGACTTGCACAAGGAGCTTGAAAAGATTTCAGTAAACCCTTGACATAATGGAAACAAGGAGCACTGAACTCTGAATGAGGAGTTACAACAGGAAAGAAACAATTTAGGGTGGTAGCAGGCCTTATTGCAACATTAAACCTCAAATTTGATCTGTTTTACACAAAGCAAACCAATACATTGAAAGAGTGCCCCAAACTTCTGGACAAAAGTTTGAAGGAAAATAATACAGTGCATGTGTAGAAATTCTGTCCAAGGGACTGGAGGAGATTATTCCTTATATTCTCATTTAATAAAAAGGTTCCTTCTGTTTTGAACGGAACATTAAAATTCTAATTCAGCTCATAGAGCATCCCAAACAGAGCGGCAAAAGAATCTGTGAAGGAGCCCAAATATGGTGCTATTGAAACACAGTGGATTAGAGGAATTGGGATAGAATCCTACAAGTGGCTAAGCAGCAGCAGGAGGTCAGCTTCACAAACAGCAGGATGCTGGTCTTGCCAGACGTGAGTGACATAATACAGGCAAAACAATCAAGATTTCAGCTGATAAATGTATGCCTGAGGAAAAGGCCTTGCTGTAGAACTTTCATAAGCAACAAATATTTAAGCAAATTCTGTAGACCTAATTTACAGGAGAACATTTTTTCTTATACAAACATGTCACGTTAACCATGCAGAGCAGAATTCTTTATGACACAAAGACAGTAATTTTAAGAGCCTAAATGTAGAAAACAGGAGTCTTTTCTCAATTTTTCAGTAAATGGATTAAACAAAGAGCTTTCATTGTTTGATGCAGCTTCAAGTGTTTCCCCAGTGATTCTGGGGATAATACATTAGGATGATACACATAAAAATATTAGCTCCAAATATCTAGGATATCCAGAAAGAAAAACAGATGCCATGTAGCCCCATTGGTTATTCATAAATTGTATATATCAGTATCATTAGACAAGTTTCAAGGCTCTGAAGGTAACAGTTGCATTAATAATGAGACATTGAGATATTAAAGTAAGATGATCATTAAATAATTTTGGTTTCTAAATTTTAAGGTATTATATTAAATCAGACTTTAATTGTAAACATCTATCTTTCACTTCTACTTTGAAAATATCTTTTAAAAGGCTGAGATTCCACTTGTTTTCTATTTTATGCTATGATCAATTAAAAGAAAATTTATTCAATTGCTTTTTAGCTAGGGAAGTGCAAAACATCATGTGCAAAACATTCATCTGTCTACCCCAAATTCTTCTCTGTCCTCCACAAAATATCCTTTTGGGCTAAATACTTTTGCAAGTCTGAAATAAATTGTAATTATGTGGTCAGCTTCCAGCCTGGAGTAGAGACTAAACTTCCCCTAGACTCTTAAGACATTGTGAAATAAGAATTTCTACGTGGTGCAGCTGACTGTTTTCATTCAGAAATCAGATTAAGAGGCAGTTGGGCCTTTGGGAACATGAGCTACAGTGATTAAGGATGCAGAAGAGAGAAAGCCAACCAGAAGCACAAGTGCACAGAATTCCCCTGCCATGGCTTGGACAATCACATAAGAACACTATGGCACTGACAATTGCTCCACGTGGCCAGGAGCTCACCTATCATCTGACCACAAAGGGAGCATTTCCCACCCCAGGAACCATGAGAGAGGATGTCTGTATTTTGATAATTTGATGGACATTTAAATAACCTACTGAACTTCTGCTGGAGAAAGACCAGATTGAAGAGCAGGCCAAGCTTGTGCTATCTGGCTTCAGTCTATGGACCTTGTAACAAGATCTGTGACCTCGACGTGTGTGATTTCTGGAGATCTTTCATAAAACCATAGAATCAGGAATCTGAGATGACATGGAGAGAGCCACAGCACTCAGCAGTTCCTGCAGGAGGCCCCTGCTCAGCTGGAAGAGGCGATGCTGCCCGTCCCTCAGCTGCAGGGCTGTTACTGCAGCCCAGGGTCACCTTGCTCTCGTCACCAGGGGCAGTGGGACGTCCTCACACGCACGGCTGTGCTGCACATCCATAGCTTGTTTGGTATGGAGCAGAGCAGCTCAGTAAAAGCTGATTAAGACATTGTGCTGAGCTAAAAAATGGATGCTTTGTGGATATCTGTGTTTTGGCCTTTCCCCAAATGTCTTCCCCCAACAAGTGAGAGAGGACAGCTGGAGCAGACAAACTTTCTGTACCCAAGAGACTGTTTTTCTTTCCTTTGAAGGTATTACTTGCCTGTTATTACATTTACATAAA